CCATGTTGTCCCTGGGCTTCATGCCATGCCTGTGCCATGTTGTCCCTGGGCTTCATGCCATGCCTGTGCCATGTTGTCCCTGGGCTTCATGCCATGCCTGTGCCATGTTGTCCCTGGGCTTCATGCCATGCCTGTGCCATGTTGTCCCTGGGCTTCATGCCATGCCTGTGCCATGTTGTCCCTGGGCTTCATGCCATGCCTGTGCCATGTTGTCCCTGGGCTTCATGCCATGCCTGTGCCATGTTGTTCCTGGGCTTCAATTAAGAATTTTGTGGAAGCCTTACATAGAAAGAAAATTCATAAAAGCTTTCTATCATATATAAGCAATTATCAATTACATTTCGTAATTTTATTGAAAAGGTGAACGAACAGTAATTGTGCAATTTAAGTCAAATTCCCAGGCAAGGTGATGTAATGTAATGGGTATGATGTAATCTAATGATGTCATTTATGAATATTCAGTTTTCAATTGTAGTTGAATTCATTATCAGTGTGGCTTGATCATTGACATAGACTATGTTCCTGGGTAGTGACCTTTATTGAACAAACTTAATAATCTTTATCTTATCGGAGTTGTTGTTTATAAATATGTTAATGTTTAACTTATTTCATCTATGATCACAGCTTTTTAATTCTTCTTCTTCTATGGGTTAGCAGTATTTCACTGTGCTGGTATTATATTTAGTATTATTAACATAATATTGATTCACTTTATATACAGCTGTGTAGAGTACGGAGGTCTCCTCATCTATTATCCAGCGCCATGTGTTGATGTTCTCGTATAATCACTGGTTCTAATAACATGGGAAATATGGTTACTACTTGCTGTGGGCGTTTTCCCAACAAGAGTCGGCTGCATAGTGATTATGATTTGGTTCCTCACATAAAAGGCCACAAACGAGATCTAAGCGCGACATACAGTGCCAAAGATTTAGCGTTCACCTTTAATCAACTGAATGTGAATACAGCTACAGAGGAAGAGCTCATGACATTGCCTGGTGTCAGTAGACCGGTAGCTAGAAACATCGTGGATTACCGACGACAGATTGGTGGCTTTCGTAAAGTTGAAGACATTGCATTGGTCACTGGAGTCGGTGCTGTCAAGTTGGCTCATATGAGAAATGAAATATGCGTTAATAATAGAAATGGGACACCTCATGGTAGTGAAGGTGGGATATCGAGAAATTCGTCGGGTAATGGTAAAATTTCTTCAACTAGTGCTCGAAACTAGTCAGTCTGCTCAATACGTAGATGTGAACACAGCAACTGTTGCTCAGCTAAGCAAAATTAACGGACTTGGAGAACACTTTGCTAAAAAGATTATCCATCATCGTAACACAAATGGACTTTTTTATAAATATGATGAAATCGCAGATATACCTGGTGTTGGACAAGCTACTTTGATAAAAATCCTGGACCAAATAACACTAGGGAAGATGGAGTACTCGAACAGTCGATCAGATATTGGTTCGAATGGACACGTGCCAAAGCGGCGACTGTATCGCTCAAATAGCAAAAGCAGCGGTACTCAAACTGACTTTTTAGCACCTACTCCAACCACCCCACCATCAGGATCAAGCTATATCAGAGATCCAGTCGTTGAGTTCACTGGAGTTAAAGATGGCTTGCCGATTATTCGTGTCGGCAGCTGGAACATGTCTAAGTTGAGTAAAGAAAAAGCCAGTAACAGTGGTGTAATGGAAGTTATCTGCTTTACAATTCTTGAAAATGGGTAAGTAAACTGTGCACATAACTGAATATTTCATATTTACTTTGTAATGCTTTACGACTGAAAAATGATTTTGTCTTTTTTTTTCTAAGATGTCTAAAAAAAAAAATGGTGTGGTCAGTCGACAGTATTACAGACATATTGTGCAATTTTGTGTCAGTTAAATTTTACTGAGCTACTTTAATGGAGGGAGTCAACTTTTAAAATTTATTGATGAATGCCCTTAAAAAGCTAAAAAAAAAAATGCTGTGACATGCACTTTGTTAACTGACAAGCTTGATTATTTTATTTTTTTTCTGGGCGTAAAAGTCATCTTTGTTTTTTGTTTTTTATTGACATGACTAAAGATGATGCAACCATCAATAGTCACTAAGCACTTGAGTTTAAAGAGGAAAAAAAATGCCATTGATGACCTATGACCTCATGAAGTTGACCTAGACTCGTCACATCAGTCATTGTACTGTACACACACGTAAGGCTTAATTATTCGCTGGGTTTTATTTTCGTTTATTTCACTGATAGCTATATGCCAAACTAAAACCAAGTAAATAATAATATATGTTATGTTTTCTTCACAAACCATATACCGGTATATTATAACACCTGATTATTTTCTTCTTCTACAGTACTAGTGCACATTTTCACACATTCACCTTTTAAAGCAGCATTAGCTGTAGCTATCCTTTTTTTTCCTCTGATTTGTCTGCAATAAACCATTCCCTGGGTTATTAGTACCAATTTGTAAAGACCACTGCCAAATGTGGACACTGAAAGCAGAGTGTATACGATATTTACTAACGTTGTATATTAAATCATTTGCAAGTGAAAAAAGATGGCCACAGGGTTGTCATAATTTTCTACGGCCTCCACCATATGACAGATTTAAGCGACATGGTGAAACTCGACCCTCAGTTTACATATCGCATTTTATGTGTTATTAATCATGCAATTGTGTCTAAAACAATATTTTGGTAAGATTTAGTTATTTTTATGTGGTAATATTTAAACAAAAAAATGTTCAAAATGAGTTATTGTTGCTTTCAGCCACTTTTGTATGTACTTTAGATGATATACAACAAACCCAAATGATAATATGAGGTGTTTGTGAGGACGCTTTTACCTACATATAAAAATTACATGCTTTCAAAATTAATTCTCCTACTTTGCTATCACCACATAAATAAATACAATCCATAAAACAGGGAATAGAAGCGACACATTGCTTTGTAAGATGCAAACAGTTCATGGCTACTGGTTGATATACTAGTAATAACTGAAAAATAAATATTTATGATTCTGGTGATCACGTACATCCGATAAAAAAAAAAATGTTGCATCACAGAATTTTGTCAACATTTTTCAAAAATCAATATACCGGTAACCCGAAATGTTTTTATTTTTGTTTTTCTGGGTCTAACCAATATGTACCTGGTAAACCTGTACTAAACTTTACCCCAAAAGAAATCAAAATAAATAAAAAAGACAGAGATTCAAGCTTATATCAAATAAATCTACCTGGTATAATTTTTTCATATATTCTGATAATATTTTGTAGACATTGAAAAATTCATAAAAGTGTACAAAGTATATTATAAAAATTATGGCATAAAACAAATTACCATAAATTATGTTAACTCTAATGTCTTTGTAATGGATTCCAACCATGAGTCCAGTGTTACATGTTACATTGTGGTAGCGATTGACCACACGGTAGTTTTGTTTTATTATTTCTAGAAATCATAAATAAAAAAGCTTTTGTTTTTTGAATCGACGGGAAAGCAAAATGAATGTGTTACAAAATAATTCTTGTAAAATAAAAATTTTAAATAAAATAATCAAAAATTCTAACTACCGGTATTCATAGTTTTCAAAGACAGCCACCTTTGTGACATAGCGTTGTGGAATACACAAGTAGTTCATTATGTGAGTGAATCTAAAATTATTCACGGTATCTGAATTCAGTGTCCAAATTTATTGAAATTTCAATATTTTAGTGAACAAACTAGAAACAAACAGTTCCCTATAAATTAAAACATCTCTATGATGATGCATTCCATAACATCAATAATGAGGGTAACATTTACCCCCCAGAATTGAACCTCGAAAATGGTAAAATAAAATCCCTAGTATATCGAGTAGTTAAAATGTTATATTTAGTTTGCATGAACACATGGCCAATTAACAGGGTATTCCTCTAACACATTAGTTGTATGATGTGGCATATTGTGTGTGTGTGTTATTTTTAGATCATGAGTAATAACATAAGCCGCTTATTTGTGTGAAATAATGCTGTTGGGGTCTAGATCTAGGTACTTTATATTATCAGTTGCCCAGGGATCATGTTGAAAACAAAAATTGCACGAAATCATGATTTGTTGTAACCTATACATCAATGGCCTATGATCACACTTAGTGATGGTAACTTTGCTCTTCTAGGAAACACCGTTTTGACTCTCAATATTGATCTTTTGTGGGTCATTATATCAATATTATTTATATGATTTGTTGATTATAATTGTATGAATACAATTCAAAATGCCGATCTTTTCTTATTTCTTCTCATATGAATTCTTTGCAACAGATATATGGAGCGAAAATGCCCATATTTGTAAATTTTTATACTGAAATAGTTTTCAGTTATTAATTTGTTCATGTGTGGATATAATTTTTGACTTGCTTAATGACATTATGTCATTTCTCACCTGAATGGTAATTTTAATCAAACTGATACAGTGTGTTTTTGAATTTTGATGAAACGAACAATGTATTTTACACACGTGATTTACATCAAACAGATTTACATATCGAACAGGACGTCGTAGCGTGACGACCACCGTCCTTTAACTTTGGTGGTCATCAATGTACACGCATTCAAGTGTATGTCTTCATATAGGTGTGGTTTTGAAGTACCTAGTATCGTAAAACATTTCGTCAACTGTGTGCTTATAAG